ATACCAGAGGTACTAACGATACCAGAGGTACTAACGATACCAGAGGTACTAACGATACCAGAGGTACTAACGATACCAGAGGTACTAACGATACCAGAGGTACTAACGATACTAGAGGTACTAACGGGACTGGAGGTACTGAAACGGTACTGAGTTAGCGGTATTGGAACGGTACTGGTATATATTCTAACGATATTGGTACGGTACTGGTACTAAAATATGGATGGTTTTCAATCACTAGTTGCCAACTCTGATCAACTACCGCCTTGAAAAATACAAACATTCTCAACATAATAAAGTCGTAAGCAAAATTTAAAAAACCAAAAATAAACAGACCTCAATAAACTCATCCAGGTTACTGAACTTGTGTTTGGCCTTCTTTGATCATACTGTCGATCTAATTCTTAAATACATCCAAAAACGCCACTTTTGCACCACATTTAACGCCCGATAGATCTGATCGTAAACGGCATACGCGGCCAGAATATATGGCTTCCAGCCTATGGCCGACACGTGCCTCGCGGTGCCCATCAATTCAGGGATAGGATTAACATGGGCAATTGCTAAATCTATGGATAATGCTAACTTAATAAGACTAATGTTAATCCTATGAACTAATGTTAAGTCTATGTTGAAAACGGATTTGAAATATATACACCCCGTCAGTTTAATTCGCAAAATACGGATACCAGTTTCGGTTGAATGTAGATGTATATTCATGGATAACGTTTGATAAATAAAAAATCCACATATTAGAAAACCTACATATAGTCCATAACTGAGCAAGCTTCCAAAAAAGCTTTTAAAAAAGTTTTTAGCTAGACATAATTTTTGTTGTATTATTGTAATTTGTCAAACATTAATCTCAAATGCCATTACATTTGTTTACAATATGTTACCCATAATGCAATCCACCACTCTCTCTATTTTATAACGACATATTTGAATGCATTAAGTTAAGAATAAGCATATTATAAAGTATGTTGCCTTATTATGCGGGCAAATGCACAGAAATGCACGCCTTGCTCGTCGTTGATATAGTCTATTATTAGATTTTGTGGTGTTGTCAATAATACTGACAATATTTTTAAAATATTAAATTAGTGTATTTAATAAACGCTCACAATGTTAACAAATATATTACCTGAAATACTAATTAGATGAATTGTTATGAATGAACACTATTACAAATTAAATTTTTATGCATATTATTGCGAAAGTTCAATTATTTTAAGAAACGACGTGATTATCAGTAATATTATCTGTAGAAATAAATGAACAACAACATTATAAACAAGATTCACACGTAATATATAAAAAATTAACAACAATTTGAGTAATGCTTAAAAATTCGTAAGAATTAACGTTAGACCTAACCCCATGACTTAGCATTGCCAATAGAATTTGCACTATAACCACAGATTTAGCATTATAGTTTGATATAATACTAGTCACATAAGATCATAACGCCCCATATTAAAGTATACCTATTTAATTAAACTACTGTAGAATCCCATGTTAAATCTCATAAGTTGGGACGTAATGTGAGTGTGAACAATTTTACAAACCACATTATTTACAACTAAATTGTGGTTAAAAATAAAATTAAAACACACCTCAAATCCTTTAATATAATTGATAACAAATAATGTCCAACAATGAAATCCAACCTTTTTTAGTCCGTTTCTCTCAATCAATATTAATAACTATTATTATAGATTAAATTACAATTAAATTTTTAATAAAGTGCAAAACATTACTTTACCTTTATCTTTGATTGCAATAAATATGATTGTGTTAACGATTTAAAAAATGAATTCATTAATAGATAAGATTTATTGACTCGGATATAAATTTGAGACGAGATATAAATTATAAATAATAGGATTATTGAATAAATTACACTAAAATATATGATTAATATTTTGAATATTAAAACTTTTGCATAAATACTTAAAAATATCATCAAAGCTATTATAGAGCTAATTGTGAACCAAATAATAGCCAAAAATTTTGACCAATAATTATTGTCGTATTTATTAATTTCATTATACAATGCGTTAACATCATTAATAATTTTTAAAATCCTCACCGAGTTTCTCATGTTTTTATATTTTAACATATCGTTTATCTTAGTGTTTGTCATAATTACTTTGTGTTTCAAATAATATGTAATTATGTAATAATAAATGAATTGCCAAACAACTATTGTGTAAACGTAATGACAAGTTATGCCCCAAACCAATGAATAAGGTATTGAAATGAATAGAAATTCATTTAATGTAACATTTGTTACAAACGGTGACAACACTACAGCAAATCCAAGAAATGGTATGCATTTTAACACTAAATTTGCGATTTTGAAACACAATTTTGTTCTTATAATTAGTTTATAAATTAATTGTTTGTTTAAAATGCCAATACTTTTAGGCGTTATATAACCCGAAAGCATATGAAATACACGCAAATCGGGTTTTATATTATGTTTATAGTTATAATAATTTATTAATTGAGATAAAATTGGTATACTTATGATTATAACAGCTACGATGTTAGTTTGCAATCTTATCCCGGTAAAGTAAGCAAAATCACCAGAATAAATATATACCTTTATACTCATTACAGGCAATAATGCCATCAATAAATTGTGTCCAAACATATGCATTAATACAATGAAAACCACAATTGGTTTGTGCAATGAGTGTCTGTTTTGTGAATACATTGGATATAATGAGAGACCAATGCTATAGAGATGACTGCCCGCCGATCGCACCCTTACAGACGGTGACAAAACCTTATTAATGTTTATTGAATTTATATTAACCTTCATTATTAATATTATTATATTTAACCCAATTATCACACAAAATAATTTTAAATTAAATTTAAAATATAGCACATAAACTATGGTATAGATATTAGATATTTCAAACAAACAAGTCAATTAATTAAAATGTCCAAAATAAAGATCTTATAATTTCATATTGTCATATTAAGTTGATTTATTTGACAAAGTCGTATTATCTAGATAATAAATATAAAGTCTATTATGACTTCTATTTTTATAATTAATGATTTTAT